CATGTTCTAGGAAAACAGGCTGAAGGGGAGCTTGTTGCTGCAGGAGTGGGAGACTCCCTGGCTTCTTCAGCAGCCTGCCTCATCTCTGCCTTTTGACCTTCCTTCTCTCTAGAAGTAAGTTCCATTGAACAATGAAGACATGCATGGGCTTGTACCAAAGGCACCAACTTGAGAGGGAGATGGGTGTGGGTGGGTGGGTGGGTGTGACATTGTGTTTGTGATGTCACACATGCAACATCGCATCACAATGGCAGGGCATCAGGTGAAGCCAAGGGGTGGAGCCAAACAGTGAAGCTTCAATCACTGGCGTCTCCTTTCCTCTGATCGCCATCCTCTTCCTCCTCCTGCCACTGCCACCAGCCAAGAGCTGCTTTCCCACTCCTTCCCCTCTGCAGAAAGAAGAGGGGGAGGGGGAGGAGCCAGCCACTGAAGCCATACTACGCTCGGCTCCATGTTCAGCCTCCTCCGCCCCCTGATTCTTTTGAACATTGGGGGTCCTGGACCCCCCCAGAAGTATTGGGAGGCAAAAGAGTTGGGCCCCTAGGAGTTGGCACCCGTGGCTTGTACTGTTTAGGGAGAAGCAGAAGCTAGCAGGCTCTGCAGAGGAAAAGAAACTCCTTGAGAGCCACAAAGAAACGACAAGAGTGCAGCACTTCTAAATAAAGTATTATTCAATCAATAGTGATGGACAGTAGGGTCAACCCACCCTCGTGTAAGAATGACATTCCCAAATTGGCTCATATCAGTCTGCCACAGGTAGTGACAGGAGCCTTTGCTGAGGCCCACCCAAAGTGCTTATTTGCTGACACCCTGGGTTGCAGTTTCAGGCCTCAGGAGCATTTTGCAGTGCAGCCGGTGTCTGAGGCTTGACCATTTAATTATTCCATTTAGCAGGAGTTGAATCCAACATGAAGCTTTTGATAGCAGCACACTCAAGGGGCGGTGTGTTCTTGCCTGTGGCGCCGCTTGAAGTCAACACTTTTTCTTGTGCCTGAAACAGCCGTGTTGAGTGTTGCATCTTTTCAAAATGAAATTCATTTAAAGAGTGTCGTAGTTCAATCAAGGTGCCCATCCTTTTCAGCCAGTGTACATTCTGCTTCTCTTACAAAGGCTTCTCATATCAGTATCCTTGATTTCCTTCCCCCACTCAACCCCCCCCCAAAAAAAATCCATAAGAGGAGTATAGTAGAAATCTGACAGATAATGTACAGAAAGCGAATTGCTGAGCCTTTTGTGAATTATACAATGGAATCCCAGAGACATGTCTTCAGAAGCTCTTGACACCATGGGAGGCCTTGAAAGTCTAGACTCAAAGGACTTTTATATTTTGGAAATACTTTGCTCTGTTCTGTGCTTTTCTTTCCTTATACATAGCAGGGCTTGAAAGCGGAAAGTAAATACTTCTGTAACCGAATGATCAAGGCTCCCAGCCCAGAAGTAACAGATCAGGTTTTGATTATTATGAAGCATTCTGTCGATATGAAACATTTTCTTCCCTTCATTTGTCTGCATTTGGGAGCCGGTTCTGCTGCTTTGGGGCACTCCCTTTGAAGGCCCCATCTGGACTGTACATTTAAAGCAGTATCATACCACTTTAAACAGCAATGGCTTCCCCCAAAGAATCCTGGGAACTGTAGTTTAATAAGGGTTCTGAGACTCATTAGGAGGCCCCTATTCTCCACACAGAACTGCAATTTTCAGAGTGGTTTAAAAGCCCAAGCCTGTTCCCAGGGAACTCTGGAAATTGTTGGGGGGGGAGGTGTTCCTAACAACTTTCAGTGCCTTTAACAAACTATAGTTCCCAGGATTCTTTGAGGGAAGCCACAACTGTTTAAAGTGGTATGATACCGCTTTAAATGCTATATCAAAAGGGTTAGGTTAAGGTATTCTTTATTTAAATATTTTTCTATCATCTACCAAGCAGCTACAATTTTCTAAGCAATGAGCAGACATTAAAAGATAAGGCAGCACACAAGCTCGTAATCTAATAGACATGATACAAAAAAAGAATGGCAAGGGAAGAATAAAGTAATATGGTTTAATATAAAGAGGTACAGCAGTGATGGTCGCAGAGAAAGAGAAGCCTCAAGCATGGAAAGAGATTGATGTTTGTGTGTGTTTTTGAGCTAGACGATGAGAAAATTACCGTTTAGCCTTTGGCTTGCTTTTCATATTCTGAAGAGCTAAGAGTGGCTTTATTAAATTCCTTTGCTCCATTTGATGAAGATGTTTTTGGGGAAGGGGCGGGATCATGTACAAAGTCATTTCAAATGTATCTTTTATTATAATGGGTGGTGCTGGTTTTGTTTTATTGTTATTTGCTGATATGTTGTTAATATTTATTTGGAATACTGCATGTGAAGTGAATTCATGAATTTTGTTAATTGTTTATCTTTAGTTACTGCAATGCACACTATGTGGGACTATCCCTGAGGCTGCAGCTGCTGCAGAACATAGCAGCTAGGTTGCTTGTGGGGACAAACTTTATTTGTCCCCAACATATAAAACTTTATTCATTGGATTTGCACCGACTGCTAGTCTGCTGCTGGACAAAATTCAAGGTGTTGGTACTAGCCTATACTAGCCGATAATGCCCTATGCAGCTCTGGACCAGGTTACTTGAGTGACCACCTTTTCCCTTATATACCCAATAAGTCCCGGCTGTCTGTGGGAGAGCTTCTCCTGCAAGTTTCGAAGATATCAGAAGCCTGTTCTACAGGAACGTGGAGCAGGGCTTTTACTGTGGCTTCCCCTGTTCTGTGGAACAAGAGGCACCCACTTTCTGCACTGTCTGGAAACAACAGAAGCCATTTCTGTTCTGATAAGCTTTCTCAACTGAATAAATGAGTATTTACATTGAGTGTCCACTTTGTTAGGGTTTCAGTCTTGTTTTTAATGTAGTTGCTGTGTTTGTGTTCTTTGTTTTATCATGTCTCTGCCACAGGTGCCTATTTCGTATTGTTTCTCAATTTATCTGATGTTTGTTTGGTTTGGGTTTTTTGTATTGCTTTTGGTTGTTTTCATATATCTAGGCCAACATTTTCTACATTGGCTGGCAGTAACTTTTCAACTCTCATCCAGGGAGCGTTCCAAGCCATTGCCAACAGGAAATGACCAGGACTGATACATAGGGAAACTTTTGATGTGAATGCATGTGTTCAACCACCTAGCTACGATTTCTCACGTGAAGACACAGGGAAATGGCCTGGCTTGCCACCAGCACACCACACTGACAGATGTCTTCTTGCATAGCAAGTTTAGAGAGAGATGATGAAAGAGGGCAAACTTTTGACAGATGTCGCAAACTGTCTCTAAGGAGATTCAGTTTCAAGCCTTTCATGTCATTTTACAATGGGGAAAAGATGTTATTTCAGAAACGTTATGTAATCCATTTATTGTCTCCATTGTTCGGGTAGCAGTACTGGAGTGTTATTACTTTTTAGAACATGTTTTCAAGAGTGGTGCTATCAATTCCAAATGACAAAGCTGGAAGTCTATCACAATCTGCATTCAAAGGCTGTGTGGAACAAGTATTGTGAGGGGCAGACCAAGCTCAGAAGCCAGGGAAATTGAATCTAATTCTCAGCTATGTTCTCCATCGCCATCTTCACGAGAAAATTGAGGCACCAAACCATTTTTCTCACGGTACTACTAAGAATAATAAGCATCTGGATGCTTCATGGCACTTGCACAAGGGATGCAGTTGCAAATGTAGAAACCTCATTTGCAGAGCGCTGTAACACCGGCACCCACAGAACAGAAATTTACAATCCTACATGTGGCTTTTCAGAAGTAGATCTCATGGATTTCAACGAGGCATACTCCCAATTTAAGATGTTATAGAAGAAGAAGAAGAGTTTAGATTTGATATCCTGCTTTATCACTACCCGAAGGAGTCTCAAAGCAGCTAACATTCTCTTTTCCCTTCCTCCCCCACAACAAACACTCTGTGAGGTGAGTGGGGCTGAGAGACTTCAGAGAAGTGTGACTAGCCCAAGGTCACCCAGCAGCTGCATGTGGAGGAGCGGAAACGCGAACCCGGTTCCCCAGATTACGAGTCCACCGCTCTTAACCACTACACCACACTGGCTCTCAGCCAGGGATTTTGAGAGGGAAACCTGTAGCGTCAATGGCTAATCACTAAGGCCACATTCACACCATACATTTAAAACACCATAACACCACTTTGAAAAGTCATGGCTTCTGCCAAAGAATTTGGAGAGCTGCCGTTTATTAAGGATGCTGAGAGTTGAGCCTTATACCTCTCCCAGATCTACAATTCCCAGAATGGTTCAACAGTCAATCCCTCTTCACAAGGAACTCTGCGAATTGTAGGAAGAAAGAGAGAAGATAAACAAAATGCCAGAAATTTTTAAATATAAAGATATTGTTTAGAGCCAAATAAGCATTTACAATATACAAATCTGTATGAGGAGGTATTATGCTAACAAGATAGACATATGCTTTCTTTATCTTGGGAAATATTAGTGAAATCATGCTCTTGATGTGTTCATAAACTAATATAGGTGGGAATGATCAAATGTATTTGTTTACACACTTGTTATAATGTCACCTCAGGGGTGATGCTTACTCTTGTAATTATCAATGGTTTTTGTTTGTTTGTTTGTTTGTTTGTTTATGTGTTATTTAATTTATATACTGCCCTATACCCGGAGGTCTCAGGGCAGTTCACAGAACAAAATCAGAATATAAAACCACAAAATATATAATCAAAATAAAAACAACAACCCAATAAGCTCCCCATATAGAAATATTCTGTTCTGACAATAATAAATAAAAGTTTTAAAAACTTTTTTTTAAGTGTGAATTAAGTGGAATTAAAATGCAAACTGAACTTATTTCTATCCTATCACTGCCATTAGCTGAAAGACACCATTGGATACTATGCCTACATTGTAATCTGTCACAGTGTAGTATTCTTATCCACTGTGAGGTAAACATGATGTCATACTTAACCTGAAGAGTTTCTGTTGGGAAGGCCTCAGATGCTCAGGTGTTTAAAGAGAAGTAGGGTCCCTCCCCCTTTCTGGGAAGGAAGGACCCTTAAATTTAACAGATACCTGCTTTCTGTGGATCCTGCTGTGTACCTTTTCCAGATCAATATGCTGAATCATAGAAGGAGATTCTACAGAAATTAAGACACTCAGAGTGATCATTGTAATTCTACAATTTACCACAGAATACACTAAGGGACTGGGAGAGGCAGCTATATTAAAGAAGCTGGATATTGCACTCCAGTTTAAATCAAAACAATAATCTCTAAGCTTCTAAAACAGAGTTTCCATAGTAACATGTCTTCAAGTATGGGAATATGCATCCATAAATAAGTCATTTTAAGAATTTTCAGTCTCTTTTTTCATTCAGAGAAGCATCCATCTTCAGGTTCTAATTCACAGCTCAAGTAGCCCCACAGCTCAAGTGGTGTGGAACTGACACTCACAGCATAGTCTGCTAGCACAGTCTTTATTCACAAAACACTGCACTCTTCCCTCAGATATTTTAATTTATTCAAGCAAACAATATAAGCAGCTTTTGAAATTTTGTAGCATGTTGATACAAATTTTCAGGACCTTTACAACCTTTCAATAAATTTAAGGGCTGTGGGAAGTTTTACATATTTGGATAGGCTTGTCTAAACAAAAATGTGTGGTTTTTTTAGCAGGCAGCAAAAAGGGTACAGTGAAGGAACCTGCCTGAGATCAACAGGCAGGGAGTTCAAAGGTGTAGGTGCTGCCACACTAAAATATCTATTTCTTATAAATGCACAATGAGTATGATGTGGCAGCTGTAACAGTGGCAGTTCTGCAGCTTGAAGTGGTCAAGTGGGCATGTGCACCAATATGCTTATAAAATTATTCTTCAGAAATATAGTACAACATGGTGTTTGCCTTTTTAATACAGATCATTTGCATCTTACGCCCATTTAACTCACGCAATTTCAACCATATTCCATTGAGGGTTGGCTGGCTGAAGTTCTGCAAGTTATGTGTGAGCAAAGCAGAGAGCTTAAAAGCTCTTTTTGCACTGGGCTTTCAGGGCACAAAAAGAGCTTTAGAGTTCTCTGCCTTGCTTGGAAAGCAAAGCCCTCTTGGCACACTGGTTCTGGAATGTTCTTCCGTGATCTCACTGGGCTGCCTGAGTTCCCACAAGATCTTGCACAAGCATCCCTAGTCTTCTGGAGCCAGCACACCAAGAGGGCCTTACCCCCAAGCAAGGCAGAGTGCTTAAAAGTTCTTTCTACGCTGGGTCTGCTTGGGTTACCAAATATCTTTGGCCCCAAATATCTGAAGAAATGCCTGCTTCCATCACAACCTATCCAAATGCAAAGAGGCTCTGTTAAGTGGCATGCATAAGAAGGGCTTTTGTGCAATGGCCCCTAGCTCACAAAATATCCTGCCTTCTGCAGGGCATCTTACACCATCATAAATGTCCATCCCTGCAGTCTTGCTCTAGTCTTTTTATCTCTTCAGGAAATGACACTTGAAAAGAGGAGTCAAAACTCAGATATCTGAAGAACAGGGGTGTGGGGAGAGCGGTGAGGAGAAATTCCCCCTGAAAGAAATACACAGCCACTTTTTTTCTTTCCTTTTTTTCTTTTTGCCTCTCTGTTGCCTTTCTAATAATGCCCGCAGAGTTAGAGGTCTCCTAACTTGAGAAGATTTCTGTGTATATATTATTGGCAGCAAGACCTCTCCAAGGAAAAGAAGAGCATATTTTGCTTTCCACAAAGCAAGCGACAAAGGAGGAAAGGCATAATTAGACGGAAAGCCTATAAAACAGATACAGCCATGTAACAACCTTTGTCTTCCTTGTTTCAACAGACTGTAAATGAGACGGTGACAGACAAGTGCTCCCAGCAAAATGCAATCTGTAAGGTTCAATGTTTTTAACTTCCTGAGTCTGCAACCAAGGATGAAATCTTGCCCTTATTAAAGACAACAGAGAGAAGAAAAGGTAATATTGGATGCAGTGAAGTGAAAATTTCAATTCATTTTCCCCCATAAGTTTTATTTAATGTCCAGAAAGGATGAAAAGGAGTTTCCCTGTTTACCTTTTTGGTTGTTTTCCTTCTTCCAGAACTGCTTTTCCTGCTCTGCATAGGATAACTCTGGTGTTTTGCATACAATGCTCTGCATTTCATACATTATGCTAAAAGAGACTATGAAAAGATATTGTTTTTGGCATATCCTTCATGGGAGACCCTGTTTGATGGAGAAACTCTTGTTTTCTGACTAATCCAGACCTTGAGGCCAGAGCTATAGTGCATGAATCCAGACAACCTAGCATCATTCACAACAGAGAGAGGTCAATTGGAATCACACTGGAGTTTGATTTCTGACGTTCTTCTGGTGTTCGTTTTTTAGTAGAGGAACAAAGAATCCGTCCTTGTTATAGGATTGTGAGAGGGGTACTTTTGTTTTTTAAAAAAACAAGTTTCGTTTTATTTTTTAAATGCATTTGTTTATTTGTGTACGCTATAGATTTGTAAATCGCTTTGAGGCTTTTTTGTGGAAACCCATGAATAAATAAATACTAACTATTGGGTTTGAACTGCTTTCAAAACAGGCAACAGCTAACAAAAGTATTTTGTGGCAGCCTCATCTGTGTCTGGGTTGATCGTTCTCACATTCAAACATTACTCCAGGCTGTTGTTTCATTGCTTTCCCCCATCCCAACCCCACAAAACTGTTGCTTGGTCCTAACCCTTCATCACAAAAGGAATATGCAATTTAGCTGCAAGAGTAAAAAATAAAAATTTAAAAACCATTGATATTCACTATTGCTGTCTCTATTACGCGGCCTTTGAAGATGGCCACATATCAAGTGCTCAGCACTTACATATTAAGATGTGTGGATTTTTTTCTTTTGACAGAAGGCTCATCATTTGTGCCCAAATTTGTATCAAACCGCACAACATACACAGTTGTGTTTGGGAAAGAATACATTGGGATTCTTAGCATAAATAACTCAGAGGTAAAATCTAGGGCATGATCTAGTGAAAAGCAAGAAGACTTAAATCTGCTGGTTGCAATGGGAGAGATTTAAGTGTGTGCTGAGATCTCCCTCTGAAATCTATGGCACTGCTCAGAGTCTGGTTTTGGTTAGAGCCTGACTTCATAATTAAATCCTTTTGCGGATTATTTGGGCTAGCCTTTGATGTACTCTCGGTGGAAGAGCAGCTTCCATACAAATAAAAATGGATGGCGCCAGAGGCATAGTTTAAGTAGTGCAACTTGAAGCAGCTCTCAGATTAGAAAGGTACGCATTCTTGCTTCACTTGGTTTTACAGGGTTTTGCTTTCATGAAAACTCCTTGAGTGGTGTTGCAGTGAGTGCTTCTTCTGCACCCTGCAAGCCACAGCGGATACATAAAATTCTCCAGAAATATCACAGACATTTATTTTAAAGAAGGAGCAGCTTTTGTCCATTTATTTCCTCTTTCTCCTGCCTGATAGAACTGGCATGCCAATGATGTGCTAGCTTTTATATTGTGTCCAGTATCTGGCCAGCTACAAAATGCCATTGCCTCCATTTTTTTCAGCGTGCACCAATATGAATAAAAAATTAGAAAGAAAGGGAAGGGCATTCAGAAAGAGACATTTCCCACATCCTGGCTCCTCACAGGAAGCTTTTAACCTGCCTCCCCCCACCCCCACCCGAGAGCAATCTCTTTTCATTGCATAACTACCTTTGCAATTCTGGGACACGGCCGAACTGCAGCTTTTTGTGTTCCCTGGAGGCATAGGAAGCAACAGTTCCCAATTCTAGGCTGCATCAACAGAAGGATAGCATCCAGTTCAAGGGAAGTAACCGTGCCACCCTATTCTGCCTTGATCAGACCCCACCTGGAGTACTGTGTCCGGTTCTGAGCACCTCAATTTAATAAGCAGTATGACAAGTTGGAATGTGTGCACAAGAGGGTGACAAAGGATCTGGATACCAAGACTTACAAGGAACAGTTGAAGAAACTGGGTACGTTTAGCTTGGAAAAGGAGGGACTGAGGGGTGACATGACAGGGCTGTCCCGTGGAAGATGAAGCAAGCTTGTTTTCTGCTGCTCCAGAGGGCAGGACCCAAACCAAGGGGTTCAAGTCACAAGAAAGGTGATTCTGACCTCAACAACAGGGAGAACTTTTGATGGTAAGAGCAGTTTGACAGTGGAACAAACTACAGTGGTACCTCAGGTTACATACGCTTCAGGTTACAGACTCCACTAACCCAGAAATAGTGCTTCAGGTTAAGAACTTTGCTTCAGGATGAGAACAGAAATTGTGCTCCAGCGGCGCGGCGGCAGCGGGAGGCCCCATTAGCTAAAGTGGTGCTTCAGGTTAAGAACAGTCTCAGGTTACGAACGGATCTCCGGAACGAATTAAATACTTAACCTGAGGTACCACTGTACAGAGCCCTACACTGGGCAAAAGATTCCTGTATTGAAAGGGCTTGGACTGGATAATCCTTGGGGTCCCTTCAAACTCTACAATGCTATGATTCTATGAAAGGGAGGCACTTCCCTCCATCCCAGGATACCCTGGTAGAAAGCTAGTCATCTGGGTGGCACATGACTGGCTCCCATTGGCTGGAAGGTCTAGAGATTGATTTTTTTGGAGAATCTTAGTAGTAGAATCATGAGGGTCATCAAAACCAACCGCCTTCAATGCAGGATTTTTTTTTTGCCCAATGTGGGGCTCAAACCCACAACCCTGAGATTAAGAGTCTCATACTCTACCAACTGAACTATCAGAGACTACTATTGAAGTTATCCACTCAGATCCTCACCCCCAATTTCCAACTTGTTCCTTGATAACCATGAGAGGCTTATTATCTTTTTATTGTTTCCACTAAAAGTATGGACAATGTTCACTTTACTATAATAAACATATTATAGTCATATACCCTCCAGGTTCCTAAAGTAACCAGTGCAAGAACAAATACATATTAAAATACATATAACTGTATTTGCATAACTGCAAATACTTCTGCATTCATCCTTCTAAAATGATGCTGCAAAACTATTATCAGTATTATTGATAAAATTTGTATATTGCCCTCCGTCTGGAAATCTCAGGGTGGTTTACAACATTAAAAGACAAGATAAAAATCGCTAAATTCATCATATAAACAAGAACAAAAGCGAACCAATAACACCCCTCCCCCCTCCCACAACAAGTTTAAAAGGCATGCCCATATAAATGCTTATATCCATTTTGTTGTTGACAGACAGGTAGCTCAGCCAGTAGAGCACGAGACTCTTAATCTCCAGGGTCGTGGGTTTGATTCCTGCATTGTAGGGGGCTGGACTACATGACCGTCATGGCCCCTTCCAACTCTACAATTCTATGATTCTTCAGCGATTATTCCATGGCAGAAAGACTCTAGGCCAGATCTCTTCATGTGTTGTGCCTTGTTATATAATTGTGTGATTACAGCTGCATGTGGAGGAAAGGAGGACTTCAGTCACTGGCTGAGCCAAAGCCCTCTGCCAGGCCTCCTTCCCTCCATCCATGTGTTGAGGTGGAAAGTCCCAGATAGGGAGCGATGCTCCACATGTCTAGGGATCTCCATATGGTTTAGAACTCTCTAAATGGCACAGGAAGCCTATGCACATAAAGCATGCTACTTTCTTCAGACTCTGCCCACCCCAAAAAACATGTAGGGGCCTGGCAACAGGGTGTGGCAACAGGGATGAGGCCAGCGCAGGTTCTGTTCCACATGTGATTGTAAGCATCAAGGCATAATGCCTGAACAAGGCCAAATCTGCCAAATCTGTCATCTGACAATTACATTGTTTCAGGCTGTTTTATGGGAAGCAATTCATAAATGAAGTAAACAAATAAAGTGGCAATGGTGTTTGGGTCATTTTGTAGAAAATGAATCTTGCAACCAATTATTTATAAAATATAAAAAGAAATATAATAATTACCAGGATGTGATGAAAGCAAAACAAAAGTCACTCTTTTTAAACCAGTGCTTCTATTTTAAACTATTCCACCTCCACCCCCCACCCCTTTCTGCTCTATAAGGTTTTGGAATGAAAACATTCTTTTGAGAAATGCTTCTAAACAGCTTTTCTTGTTAACACTATCCCTGGTCTTTTAAAAATAAACACTTTCACAAAATTATTTCAGCACACGTAAGCAGCCTATTCTGTGACAAATATGACATTAACTGCTAAGGCCTACTGTGTATTTATTTACTGCAAGTTTCCTGATGATACTTGATAAGATAGTTCTTTTAAGCAGATGTACTGTGCAGATTGAAAATGCCTTTCAGTTTAAAACAACCTGGCAATGATTTATCTTTCTGTAAAAAGCAGAGCTTATTTAGAAACAATCACTCTCTAAAAGACCTGGGGCACTTCCACTTAACCTGTTTATTGATCCTTCATCCTGATTTGCTTGCAGGGAGATTAGACAACACTGGCTATTTAATGAGCCTTCATTCTGATTTCTTTTAAGGAAAGGTTGGATGATGTTTTGTAAATGCAAGTGTAAATGCCCACACTTTCCAGTACATTTTCACATCACTTTCCTTACTGCAAAAAGTCTGATCTTTTGGAGAACTCACTGGTTCTACACTGAATGACTATTGGTTTGTTGCACAGATATGCATTTCAAGTTTCAAGGCGCAAGTCTCTTTTTGTAAAAAGAGTGATTGCTGCATGATGCTATAATTTTATTTCAAGGTATTGGAGCTGGTGTCAGAGGTTGGCAGAGTTGGGTTCCTGCCAAGGCCCACACCTTGTTAAATATAATTGTTTAATTGCACCCTGAAATGGAGAATGCCTGTATGCAGGTTGTAAAAGGTTTAACATTGGAAAATTCCATTTGAGTATACTAAGCTAGAAAGAGCACTCTCTAAGCTTCTGAGTTGATCATTAACTGTTGGTGTTCTCTGCTAGCCTTTGAGTGAGTGTTTAACCTTAGATCATGTGATTAAGGTATTCAATTGCAAATCTCCATCTTGAAGGGAGTTGCAAGTTAATCTTTCCCTGGACGTCACAGAGAACAAAAGGATGTGATCATCGCTCTCCAGGAGCTATGTAGCCTTAGGCTGGATGCAGGTTTATGCAAGCTATGGGAGAGACAAAGACTTTATTTTTACACTAATCATTATATATATATATATATATATATATATATATATATATATATATGAACCTATGCTTGAATATGCATGTGAATTATACAACTTTCTGGATGTATCATTGATGGTTTTGTACCTGTTTTTGAAGAAGTTCTGATTAGTAAAGCTTTGAGTAATACTTATGGGTCCAAGAGGAGTCAGTTTTTATGTTCCAATTGCTTCATGCTGCACAATATTAATATGTGCAATGCACCTCAGAAGAGGGTCCACAGCACATCTGACGACCAGAGCCCCTAACCTCACTGGTGCTTCTCTTGCAATTTCTGCCTTTATACCTGTGGTCTCCCTCTAGCCAAGAGAGTGAGAGTGAGTAACAGGGTGAATGAGTGAGTGGAGCAAGGAGAAGGAACAACTGCTTCTGCTCACTTTCATACTTGCTCTTTTATCCCCAAGGCAGAGGGAGAATAAATGGGAGCATCTTCCTCTAGGTCAGTTTCAAACACTGGCTATGAGCTGTAAGCACGGACTTTATGTAGAGCTTCACAAACAAGATCTCTGAACACTGCACTTTAACAATAAACAAAAATATATAAATCGAAGATAAAGTTGATTGTTCAATGGAGCTGAGGACTTTAAAAGCTATCCTGCTATGTTTCCTAGCAACCAAAGCATTTAATCCCTTTCTCAATACTGTCTCAAGCATTTATGTCTCGACTGCATTTTTTTGTAACTATTTAGGAATCTCTTTGAATTTTAAGGTTGTTTCGCTGGGGGAACTGATAGCATATAGACTGCTCAAATAAATTTTCTTTGGTATTCAGTCCAAGTGTGTGGCCTGCTGAATTATTTGGTTTTACACAAGAGTAAGGTAAACTTGGGGGGGGGATTAATGAATGTGGGTTTTTTAACAGCTCCCATGCTTGGGCCCACTCAGCTAACACTTATCCAGAGAAGCACAAGGCCATTAAAAGGTGTAGTTCACAGTTAATTTAGCATACATGAATTCAACCCAGCAAGGATGTATTGAAAAATCCATTCAAGTTCTCTCCTAAGTCAATTTTATACATTCGCTGAACACAATAACCTATTGCAGGCTTTATTTTCATCATTATTCCACTACAACAGGGGAGCCATTGTCACCTTTTTTTTATGAAGTTACCTGACACATAATTCAGCCGAGACTTACATAACTGTTCCTATAACTAAATGTGGTCCAATTTTAAAATGTAGGACAGTTCAGTAACATAAACATGCATACATATTCCCTGAAAATGTGGGGGGAGAGCTGGAAATTGCCAAGAAGTAACAGTGTTTATGTGGGAGTGGGGCACTGACATCATGCCCTATTTCCGGTCTTCCCCCAAAGCATTAGTAACTTCAAGATTTGATTATTGTAATGGGCTTTATATGGAGATGCCCTTCTATCTGATCTGGAAGTTGCAACTGGTACAGAATACAACACCCATCGTCCTCACAGAAGCAGGTTACTGGAAATGTGTTCCTCTGCTACTGAGAGGGGGAAAGAGCCTGCAGCTGGTTATTAACCACCTATTTAAGGACTGTGCCCGAGAAGGGGGCATTCATGAACAGGTAGTTATTAACATTTTCTGAATCCAGGGAATATTTCTTAAGGAATGGCTTTGCCACCGCAACCTTGGGGCATTCAGGGACCATTCTCTCTCTCTCTCTCTCCCTCTCCTTCTCTCCTAATGAGGCATTAATCACCTCCCTGGTCCAGCTAGCTGGAGATACAGCTACCAGAAGTTCTATTCAAGGCTGACTATTGAAGTGAAGCAGTAATAAATAGTTGATTGCCCATTAAACATGAACTGTAAACTAGTCAAAAGACATATATTGTAGGAAATTAATTGGGTTCACTAGCACTGTGCTCATCTGCTACATTGACTTTCTTTAAATAGAACTGAGAGTCCAGGTGACAGCTCTCCATTCAAAGCATCTGCAATTAGTATATTTACACTCCGGGATTTACTTTGGAGAACAGGCTAAATAACCAGCTGATGCGCATAATTGGTGCATAGCTAACTTAGACTATGAGGTCACCACAGGCTATCTTTTTCTTTCCTTAATTTCAGGGCAGAATAGAACATGAATCTGCTTGGGTTTTTTAAAGTCCTGTACCACAACAAGAGGTGACAAATTGCATTAGACGAGGGAGCGATTTCAAACACAAGATTCTGAAACTCACAAGGCCACTGTATTTTAAATTTAAAACTAGATTAGGTATTAGAGCCATTTATAGGTATAAAGCAGGCTTCCTCAACCTCAGCCCTCCAGATGTTTTGAAACTACAATTCCCATCATCCCTGACCACTGGTCCTACTAGCTAGGGATCATGGGAGTTGTAAGCCAAAAACATCTGGAGGGCCAAGGTTGAGGAAGCCTGGTATAAAGTAAGGATATGCAAACCCATCATTTCCTTCTTGCAGGCACTCAGACACATTGCACATTCAGAACCAGGTCTTTAGCGTATGCAGGTAATAGGAAAAGTAAGAATATAAAAGGCTTCTTTTGTCGTACCAGATGACTATGGTAAGCCAGCAAGCAGGAGAGCAGTAGACCTCTCTCATGGTTACTCTCCAGCAACTGATACTCATGACACTTCCTGTAGGTACTATATTATTATTATTATTATTATTATTATTAAAATTTCTATACATCCCTTCTTCTGTAGATCACAGGGTGGTTTACAAAATAAAAACACAAAAATATGTATTACAATAACCAGTGAAAACAATACCCCCGGTTTAGAAGGCCATAGATGATCAGCAAGCGATCGGGAGGGGAGATAAGGGACTCTAGTGATAAAGGAGGCTGCCCGGGAAGGGGGAGGTAAAGACAGCGAACTTGCAAGGAGAGGAGACAGGAAGATTAAAGCAATAAGGAGAGAAATTAGAAGAAAAGGAGGAACAAAGAACTGTTCCAGCTAAGGAAAAGACACTAAGGCAAACAAGGGGGAAAGGGGTGTTGTAACAAAGCTGCTAAGCAGCTGATTGGCAAGGGCTCGGGAGGGAGATAAGGGACTCTAGAGATAAAGGAGGCTGCCTGGGAGGGGGGAGGTAAAAGCACATGGATCCTCAGGATTTTTGCATTGGGTCACCCCAAATTCACCATCAGATCACATAGCATGTCCATGGCTACAGCCTACACCCAAAAAAATCACGCCTCCACTGTTTCGTGGGGCCACAATGGCACAAAAACCTGGTTACAAAGCTCGGATCCACATGTCTCCTCAGGATTTTTGCATTGGGCTACTCCAAACTCACCGTCAAATCACATAGCATGTCTGTGGCCACAGCATGAACCACAAAAATCATACATCTACTGTTTCATTCAGAATATTTTTTTCCTTGTTTTCCTTCTCTAAAAACTAGGTGTGTCTTATGGTCAGGTGCGTCTTATGTAGTGAAAAATACGGTACTTGCATGAGCTTCCACTAGTGGGACTCTTAGGCTGAATCTGACACATTTCCTTGTACCACAGTCCTGGCAAGCATCCCCTATTAGGAAGCTGTTATTTGATCTGGGGTGGAAGCTGCAGCTTGCATTAGGGAGAAGGCTTAAATCCCCTTTCCCCTTGCAGCAGGATCAATTTGGATCAGGGCCTTATGCAACTATTTAAAAAAACCCAACAACAATGAAAATGCAGAAATGCATTTAACAATCATGTTGTTTAGCCCAGAGACAATCCTCCCTAGCCAGATTGCTGCAAATATATTTGTTTAAAATTCAAATTTTATACTTTTGCAACAAAAATTCATATCTTTCTACAGCCTTTTCCAGATGAATCGTGCCTTAAGGCATTATCTATCATCCCATAGAAGCTGCATAAACACATTTATCACAAATCCATTTTTTTGCAGTTTTAATCTATCATCAGGCTCCTAGACGATAACTACCGAAATTCCGGCTGTAACTACACACACACACACATGCACATTACAATTTACCTCATAGTTACCATTTAAAGAAACTGAAAGTGCAAACCCAGTGTTTCTCTTGAGACATCATTACTTTTTAAATTATGCTTGGTATTTTTGGAATTCGGCATGGGTTTGCAAGTGCTGAGTCAAAATAGGAGCGAATGATTCCCTAGGACTATTTCCTGCTTTCCATAGTTCCACATCAGCAGAGTATATCCAATGCACATTTTCCACATGGAACCTTCAAAACTGGGTCTTTGAAAAATGTAAAAACTTTCCCCCTCTATTTTAGGATTATTTTTTTAAATTCATGACAGAGGATTTCCCTTTTTTGTTTCCATGGCTATCCTGATCTGGCTTTCTTCCTTTTAGAATGATAAGTTGTTAACCTTCCTTTTTCTCACCCCATTTGAGCAGCATTTGTTTTATTTCAACATAGTGTGTTCTTGTTGTTTGGCAGATATATATACTCTCAACTGGCTGAGACAGGTACAGGCATGCGAGTGCCCTTCAGATGCCCGTCATCCTTGACTCTTGGACATTCTGGCCTTGTCTGATGTGAGTTGGAGTCCACTAGCTTGCCTAACCTGGGCTAAGGTGTATCTCTGACATGCAGTCTTCCTTGGGTGTAAAATTCATTGAGCTCAGTGACATGTATTTTGACTGCATTTTTATATGTTTACATTGGATGAAAGTTGTTTGTTCTTTTTCTATAATATTTAAATCCCTACCTACTAGAACTAGATGCAAAGCAGTGGCTTGGAGGTGGCTATACGGACTTAGAATTACTGGTCAAGATGCCTCTGAACAGATCTTCAGTTCAGAAAATTGGTTTTCACTATTAGAACAGGGCTCACAAATATTTTTTCCTCACCCAAATCCATTCCCTTCCCATCTTTATTTAGGAGAAACAAACATACATACTTCTTGTTTCTAGTGTTAAACGGTTAGAAGTAAGGTAACCTTGCTCACTGATCTACTATCAACCACTCAGAGATGTAGCAGGAGATGCTAATCTACCTTCCACCACCACCACCCCTTTTCATGCAAAAATCATGGTGCAATTGCAGCTCCTTCTGCGTCACATATACACTTTCTCTTTTGGTGTCAACTTAATCTTCATGCTTTTCCTCTCTGCCTCTCTGTTTTTAACCGTTTTGATGTTCTTTCATTTCCCATATTCAATTCACTCTCCTTCAAACATCCATCCATTTCCCAGACATCACAGGTATACAAAATGTGAAAACAGCAAAGAGGCTTGTGGCACCGTAAAGGCTCTTTGTTGTTTTAGCTTCAAGCAGCACACTCATACACACACCCGGGAGCTGTGAGCAACAAGCACATGGCTTTCCAAAACCAAATGTTTTCGGATATTAATACAGTGGTACCTCGGGTTACAGACGCTTCAGGTTACAGATTCCGCTAACCCAGAAATGGTACCTTGGGTTAAGAACTTTGCTTCAGAATGAGAACAGAAATCGCGCGGCAGCAGCAGGAGGCCCCATTAGCTAAAGTGGTACCTCAGGTTAAGAACAGTTTCAGGTTAAGAACAGACCTCCAGAACGAATTGAGTTCTTAACCCAAGGTACCACTGTACTGTTAAGTGACATGAGAAGTAGCACTGCTCAAATCCCTTCTTCTAGGTGACAAATTTTAAAAAGGTGCGAAGTCCTCTTTACCTTTGCATATCTTTTTTTAAAAAAAATTATATTTATTACTTTTATAGATTACAAAAAGAGAAAAAGAACAAGAAAGAAAAAACAGAAAAAAACAAAAGAGAAAAGCAAAAAAACCCCAAATACAATACAATACAATACAATACAATACAATACAATACAATACAATACAATATATAAACAATACAAAACACACCCTAAACTCAAACCTAAACACCTTAAACTAAGCTAAACAAACCCCACTCCCTGGCCTTAACCCTAAATGAAAGAAAACAAAAACAATTTAAAAACATACATCATCTCTTTTCCATACTCTATCTTTCATTCCCTTGTTTCCTCGACCTCCTCTCACCTCCCTTTTTGTATTCCACTTCTATTAATTGTTTCAGCAAATCCTTTCCATCTTTCTCCATTTTCTGTAATGTTGTAAATAACGTATTTTTTAACCTTATTTTCCATTAAAACTGAAATACTTATATATGCTTAACTCCTTATAACATTTCTACTAACCCCACAAAAAATACAAAAAACCATTCCACCATTTTTCTATCACTCATTAGTTTTACCATAAGTCTATATATAAACTTTACATTTTCCAATCTTCTTCCACCATCTCCTCTCCCAGGTTTCGGATTCTGCCAGTCCTTTCCGTCAGCTCCATAAAGTCCATCAACCTGGTAATCTTATGTCCGAGGCTCTTAACTCTTTTCCAAGTCCCTTCTGCAGATCTTCTTCATTTTCTTTAATGCTAAAAAGCAAATCTCAGGGAAACTCCAACCTGTCAATCCTTTTCTTCCTTCTGAACAAATCAGCTAAATTTCCATAGTTAAAGCTACAGTCCATAAAGTATTTCAGAGCATATTTCAGGATTCCTCCAAGTCCAAAGGCCCCCAAAACTTCAATCTCCTCCAGGCCCGAGTCCATGTCCCAAAAGTCAGTTAATCCTTACATAGAGGGCTCTTTCCAACTTTCCTTCTTTAATCCAAACCAGGATCCATTCCTCAGAGTCTGACTTTTCCTAGATTCAATCATAAAAGGCCTCGACTTATAGTCCTCAATTTGCTTCTGTAAAGCCACAGATCTCACTTGTATTATTTTATGCTCAACAACAGCAGCATTCTCCTTCTCCTCCTTCTCCTCCACCATTTGTCCTGCCAAAATGGATTCCTGTACCAAGTCCTGAATTATTTCTGTGTTGGTGTTCGCTTTTTGACTCAAATTGGTCACTTTCTGATCCAAATTATCAACTTTAAAAGCCATGTCATCCATCTTCTTGTGAAGTTGTCCCAGCGAACAACTTATCTTACATAAAACAGTCACAATGGCCTCTCCTGTCAACATTTTTAAATGGTCCAAGGTCACTCTCTGGTTCTCAGAATCCTTATCTGCAACTGGAAATCCCCCAGTTACAGTCCTGTTACAGTTTCAAAAGCTCCCTCTAGAGAGAAACAGTCTCCACTTGTATCAGTTCTTTCATACATTAAAGAAAAATTTTCAGTTACTTTTCCTCTTTTTTAAGCGCAGAAAAGGACAATGGAAACAGTATCTTACTCTTATTTAGCTAGCTGTCAAATCCGTTCTGTCAAATGCACTCTCTCCAAACGTCATCTGGCAGCCCGTTCCCAGGTTCAGAGCAGTGGTAATTTAATTTTTCACTCTCTCCTGCAGGCTCACTAGATCCAAAATTTCCCCCTCTTCTCCTGCTTCCAAGGGGGGTTTTGTATTTTAAACCGGTGGAAATTTGATCCTTTGCCAAAAGCTTTGAAAGGCTTTAACTTGTAACGTCTTTGCTTCAGTCTATTTACAAAAACGGGAGGCGGACTTCCTGTTTACAACCTTCCCGTTTCAATGCCAAATTAAAGTATTTAAAAATCAAATTTTCCGTTTTACTCACGCGTAGTTGTTTAAAATCCAATTGTCCACAGGAAAAAGTCAGCGCTCTCCGGCAACAGCAATGCGGCTTCACTCCGTGAAAGAAGCAGTCGATTCAAAGCACCGCGCCACTCACCCCACGTCGCTCCGGACCCCCAAAACAGGGTTTCCCCGCGAGTAGGGGAGGCGCAAAAGGTGCCAGCCAAATCCCAGGTTCACAAGCTTCTCCCGCTTGTGATTTCAATGGGTCTCCACCTTCGCCGTGGCGGTCAGACCCTGTTTTTCACGGAGCAAGTTCCTCCCGAACGGAGGAGCTCCGCCATTGCCGGAGGCGCCAACCTTTGCATATCGTTACTCTCATATAGGAATGGCTGCTTGAACCGTAGAAGATGACAATTGTAGCAAGTCATATTTGTGTGAAACAAGAAAAGCTGAAATATAAATACATTTATATTTATGAACTGGCTTTTTAATTACTTAGCAGAACATACAATTTAAAATAGATAGTATAGAAGAAAGCATTCTAGTTTTTTTATTTTATTTTAAAGGTGACTGCAATGCTATCCATTGAATGGCACTGCCATTGAATTTACTTCCAAGCAGACATGCCTAAGACATGCACTGTAGGACTACCATTCTGGGTGCTCATTCTTAGAAGTAAATCCTTCAATTTTAGCTGAATTTATTTCTGAATAACCTGACCGCATGTCTCTAGATTATCTAACATGAATATAACCAATTTGCAGAAAAAATTAAGAAAAAAAGAGATTCTGAGAGAAAATGAGACTGACAGATTAGTCCTTCCCTACTTTTGAGTAGCCTTGCCTAGGATTGTGCTATAAGGTATATAATCCTGTACACATTCACCTGTGAGCAAGTCCCATTGAGGTCAAAGGGACTAACATCATAGCAGACATATCTAATACAGCATGGTTAATCTGTGATAAGCATGTTTGTGAACAAGCAAGCAATCATTTGGGTGGCATGTTATTCTTTTGTTTCTGGTGATGGACTCAGTCCAGACTTTACTGTCTGGATGCCAAATGGAACAGTTCATTAAAGGTTCTTCCTTTCATTATTCTTCTGTCATTTAATGAGGTATTGATCTGTGATTAAGTGATGCTTAGAGGATACCAGTCACAAAATGAACAACTAGTTACACTTTAAAATCCATCAGCCTATCAACTAAGATATTGAAATGTGAAGCTTTATTCTGAGTCCTTACTAGGTCTGTACCAATATAATAATTTTTGGGGTTTTTTTTGTTAAGCTTGATCCCAATATCTGCTTCCTAGGGTGCTTGGGATGAGGCACATTGGAATGAAGTGTTAGGCCAGCGGTGCTCTCAAGTATTAGTTACCTCATGTTCACATTTTAGCAGTGTTGCAATGACATCATTTTCTGGACCTTGGTGACATTGCTCCGGGCAATAATCTAGATCAGGTCACCTAGTAAAGGACCCTTGGATGGTAAAGTCTAGTCAAAGGCAATGATGGGGTTGCAGCCATCATCTCGCTTTTCAGGCTGAGGGAGCCGGCGTTTGTCCACAGACAGCTTTCCAGGTCGTGTGGCCAGCATGACTAAACCGCTTCTGGCGCAACAGAACACCATGACGGAAACCAGAGTGTACAGAAACACCACTGACCTTCCCACTGCAGCAGTACCTATTTATCTACCTGCACTGGCATGCTTTCAAACTCTAGGTTGGCAGGAACTGGGACAAAGTAACAGGAGCTCACTCTGTCATGGGGATTCAAACCACCGACCTTCCGATCGGCAAGCTCAAGAGACTCAGTGGTTCAGACCACAGCGCCACCCGTGTCCCAGGTCACCTAGTAAATATACAAGGTTCTATTGCGTGGGTATTACATTATATGCAGGGAGGAATTTATTATTATTATTATTATTATTAATGTTATGTACTTTGTGTTTATATGTTGTAAACCAATCTTTGGATGAAGGGCGGTATATAAATTTAATAAATAATAATAATAAGATGGTTCATAAAAAGAAGTTGGCAGCAAATCTCTAAAAAGCAAGTCAACCTGTCATGAAACCTGCTTAGTGAAAAACACCCTCCCCTCCCCCCAAAAATGGCAAATTTCTTTATCGTTCTCCTCTTCTGGGGCTTCCCCTTTTCTAGTTCTGCTCAATAGTGGATCTCAATGGACAGGGGGGGAGAGAGAAAGATGAAAGAAGATTGTCTCTTAGTTAATCTGAACTTGGGCCATATAAGTCTTTGAATATATATATATTTTTTAAAAACAGAATTTAAAAACTGTCTCACTAACAAATTAGTTTTCAGTGAAACTCCAACATGAGCAACCAACCTGCCTGTTACCTTCTAAACCAATGGAAGCTTTTCATGATGTCTTCAAGCATGGCACCAGAAAAAGAACAAGTCAGGAGGTTGCTAGAGCATGCACAGAGTTCCAAGGGGACTGGTGTCTCAGGCAAAGCTCATGAAATATTCTCTCAGCCATAGCTTACACCCAAGAATCCAGAAGAAAGACCACATCTACCAGTAAATATGAATATTACTAAATTTGACAGCAGCTCAAATGTGGGATAACTGTAAAATGTTGACCTCTCCTGCATGTCAGCTATCCGATACTGCAAAATGGCAACTGTGCATGTCAGATACTATATCAAATGCTGACGGCAACTGCATGTCACTTTTCAAATATCAGTAAGTACTGGCTGCTGCATGTCTGATGCTATCAAATACTGACTGCTACTGCATGTCAGCTGTCAGATCCAATCAAATGCTAGCTACAACTGTATATGTCAGTTGTCACATATTGTCAGATGTTAGCAGCTGCATGTGAAATGTCTCTTTTAGTAATGGACCACTATTATATTTCAGCTCTTGGATGTTGAATGCTCCAGCAAAATATTTTGTTGTCAAATACTGGTGCTGAATATACTTTATTCACCGCATATCTGGAGAATGCTCACATATACAGAAGATATGAGCCATCAGAATTTTAGAGGAAAATTTTGGTGGGAGAGATGGTTTCGGATAACACAACAGGGAACAGCGGCCCAATGCAGCACGGGGAATGTGACCTATATGTCTTTCAACCATTAAAAATCTAGTCAGAAGTCTGAAAATCTAGGTGATGATGAGAGCACTGCAGTTAGGAATTAATCATTCCCTGAAAAAATGTCAGAAAGGAAATGGCAGGGAGAGAAGAGAGGTGGTTACAGAAAGAGATAGAAGTGCGTTGCAGAGGGAGAGAGATGGCAAATGGGAGCTTAACCCACTTAATCTAACCCCACCCATCACTGGCTTTGGCCTCACCTGCTACCTGCCTGCCTACCTACCTGCAGTCCTTGACAGACTACCCCCAAGGGAACCTGTGCCTTCAGGTAGTAGTATATGAGAGAAAATAACTAGCATGATGAGAAACTTCACTTGTTTCAGAATTTTGACTAATGTCTCCTGATATCTCATGCCACTGCTTAACTTAATTCTACCTCCATACACTGCATTGTGTCGCTTAACTTTACCCCTAAATGCAATGTGAAGGCTTGCTGCTTCTTTTCGTCTCATGTGGGGCCTGCAATTTGTGCGATTTAATATCATATGCCTATACCCATCTATCTCCTGCAATGGTGGAGAGCTCTGAGGCATGTTTCAATTTGTGCAGAGCCAGGCCAAATTGGAGACATCTCCTCACAGCCTACAATTCCCACAAAACAGAACCAGGGACTTTGAGTGTATTCTCACTTTGGTGGACTCATAAACTAATCTGTGCCTTAGCACTGTCGATTTTATTTCTTCATTAATTTACTCTATACGGTTTATAAGCCAGCCTCTACAGGAGTACTCTGGGAAGCTTACAGGAATAAATAGGGTACATTAAAAGGAGCATTTTCTATGGAAGAAACTTAATCTCATACAGGAATTAGTCTGGCTCATTACTCTTACTGGGTGAGATATAGAGAAAATAAAAAAAACCAGAGATATAGTAGGCTGCAATATATTGTCTGATGATGGGCCTTTGGATATAGGGTTTCCCGCCACACAAAGAATAAACCCTCAGTCCAAAGGAGCCTCATTTTTTTTTATCTACTAAATCAAAGAGAAATACTTTATGGAGTTTTGATCTGCAATTACATTGGACAAGTCTGAAGTAGGATAGTGTGTCAGAATCGCTCAATTAGCCTGGCCATTATTGTACTCCGTGAGAAGGTGTGTTTGCATCAGCAGGGGACAGAAAATCATTAGGGATGGTTGATGCCTTGGTTGGTTTCTGGATAGAAACCTGTGGGAAGTACAGTATAAAAGGGTTGATACCAGAGTGCAGGCAACAGATAGAACCTGAATCATTTTTAAAAATCATTTTAGTTTCCATGGATACCATTGCCCTGCATATGCTTCGCCTAAGAAGTATGTCAGAGTCAAATCACACTGCTTAAAGCTAAATAAACTGTGGAGTAGTGACGTAGCCCAACACTTTGTTAGCAGGGAGGTCACTCATCCAATTTGCCAATTCAGGTACTTAATACTGGTTGCCTGCAAAAGTCGGCAGGAAGAATTCCATGCGAAAACTTCTACAGTGAATTTCAGCAGGTTCTATTTGTGCTGTCCCACTTTCAGTATCGACTGAATTTTGGGTGTGTGTTCAAGCATATATTTGTTAATAAAGGTTCAATGCATCATGGGTTAGATCAATGGTTCCCAAAGTACCGTCCTGCGGAGGATTACTGGGGAAGGGCAGTAGGGGGCTCTAGAGGTGTAAATAACTATCACTGGACTGAGTTCATCAATTTTCTTGAATTAATTAAACTACAGTGATACCTTGGTTCTCAAACTTAATCCGTTCCGGAAGTCTGTTCCAAAACCAAAGCGTTCCAAAACCAAGGCACGCTTTCTCATAGAAAGTACAGTGGTACCTCGGTTTAAGAACAGCCCTGTTAATGAACTATTTGGTATATGAACTCCACAAAACCGGATGTAGTGTTCCGGTTAGCAAACTTTACCTCAGTCTACAAACGTAAGCCGAACGGTGGAAGGGCACCTGCAGCGAGAGGCCTCATTAGGGAAAGCGCGCCTCGATTTAAGAACAGCTTTGGTTTAAGAACGGACTTCTGGAATGGATTAAGTTTGTAAACCGAGGTACCACTGTAATGCAAAACAGAGTAATTCATTCCAGACTTTTAAAAACAACCCCTAAAACAGCAATTTAACATGAATTTTACTATTTAACAAGACCATTTATCCATAAAATGAAAGCAATAATCAATGTGCTGTACTATAAAATAAATAAGACAGTATTGTAGATGATAAAAAAAAAAAAATTCTTACCTGCACTGATGGTAGTCATTGTTTGCATGGGGGGCCTTCATCCATTTCCACAGTTACACAATCAATCAATCAGTAGCTGAACTGGGTTCCACACAGTCACAAAAACAAATTAACTGAAAAAGCCTCAAAAACAAAAACGCAAAATAAATAGCAAAAACAAAAGTGCCAAACTTAATCCGTTCTGGAAGTCCATTTGACTTCCAAAATGTTTGAAAACCAAGGAACAGCTTCTGATTGGTGCAGGTGCTCCAGAAACAATAGCCGACAGCCGCATAGACGTTCGGCTTCGAAAAAACGTTCAAAAACCAGAACACTTACTTCTGGGTTTTCGGCATTTGAGAACCAAGGCGTTTGAGTACCAAGGTACTACTGTAAATAGTTTTAATTGGATTTTGAGTAAATGTGCAATTAATTGTTTTGAATTGTATTACGCTACCTTCCTTAGTGAGTTGTGCAAACTGCTATTCTGAATTATTATTTTTCATAGGGTAGGGTAGGGGGCACTGTGGATAAGTTTATGGACCAAGCGGGCAGTAACCCCAAAAGGTTTGGAAACCACTGGGTTAGATAAGATAGGTACAGTATTTGTCTTCAGTTGCACCATGTAACAGACGTACCATCTTAAATCTACATTAATATTTCACTGTTCTTGCCCGCTCATATTTGATACTTCACTGTAGATCATATCCAACATCACAGGATTGTTAAATGCTGTCAAGATTCTAATGCTGTAAAGGAGAACATTAGCTGACAGTGTTGCTGTTCCACTAATAGGTGGTTGCTGTTTCTGGAACCATGCTATGGTCAACTTCATAAATGCTCACGTTCTTAGTAGATACACTTTTCTTTTCAGCATCCACATGGGCCTCTTAAACTCCCAGGAGAAGGAGCATGTGACGAACCACCCTCAAGCAGGAAGTTTTGAAGGGGGCTTCTTAAAAAAGTGTGAGTGGAGTTATTTAGAATCCTCCGCATGAAAGGCAACTTTGCACAATCAAGGTTCCCATTCACAGGGAGGAATCCTAAGTGTTTTCATCCAAATGCAAGCAGTTTCACACTGCTCCTTAAAAAACATCTGAAAACAGGGTTTAGAGGAGACATGTTGACTGATCACAAAGGGCTTTCAAATAGGCCTGTCTTGCTCCTTCAAACCTCCAGAAACCAGAGGTGGATCATTCCACACATCCATCAAAATAGGCCTGTGGAGTGGTGGGGAGGATAAGGATGCTGTTTCCAGTGCCCCACTCCCTGCCCTGCAGCTAACCAACCGAAGACATTTTCTGTGTGTGACTGTACTCTTTATTTTCTCCAGCACGTCTGGTCCAAGTTATCCCTCATGATGAATTACTGTCAAGTACACAATTTTGTCTGTGGAGCAAACTGGCATCTGGGACAAACCACAGTCTATGGGTTCGCCTTGCTTCCTCCTATGAGGCCAGGAACACTTAGCACTTTATGTAGTGTTATTTTATCCTCCTCACTCAATAACACATTTATGTCCCAATAACTTCCCTGGCGCAGGTAGAGACAATAAAGTACAATTACTAAACAGTCATTTTGTTTCAAAAGAAGACTTAAAGAAACAGTGAATGTTGTAATAAATGTGGTGACTCACATAAACCTGCAGAGAGGATTTAAAATAGCAGTCTCACATAGCAATGGGAGTAGGGGCAGAATTTGTTCTGTTTGCATTTTAATAGGAACCTCCTTAATTCATACTTCCAAAAGTCAACACGAGAGCAGAAACATTGCTATCCTTTGAAATGTGTACTTCTCCACATTTGCAATCAAGTTCTCTAACCAAAAATGTATACAAAAACACGCATCTTAGGAAAAGTGCGCACAAAAATACATGTTAGTGAAAAGAACATAATCAAAAATACATTATACTAAGTTAAATAGCTTGCTAAAATACAAAGACTGGGAGGAAATTGCACGAAAATACGTATATTAGGAGAAGTACAGTGAAAATGCACAAAATTTTTCATGCAGACGTTTTAAAAAAATCACAGACTGATGTAGATACAGGGCAAACTGAATTTAAGACTGGAACACTGAGAAAACAAAACTGACAGATCGTCCATGCATCTTGGTGAATGAAAGAAGAAGAAAAGAGGAAAAATATAAACAAAATAATGCAGCTGTTAGGGAGCTTTTTAATATCATAATTATTACTTTTCTTTGCTAAATAGGCAACTCAGTGTCCCTTTAGAAAACATATTCCCAGTGTCTTCTGCAGGACTGCTAACCAGTGCAAAGGGTTTGTGAATTATCGCCTCTTGTTGGCAGCCTTTGCTAAAGTTAGATGTGAACATTGCAATATAGGTCAGCAACACCTGATTCAAAGACAGCTTTATTGCAGGCATGTGGCAGGCTAAGCTAAGAACAGCACTGGTCACTGAAATCCTTTCTCTGGCCTTGTCAAACTCCCTCAAAAGACAGGGAATCTTCTTTCTGATTGTTAGATTGTGGGCAACCATTCCATTCCCTGGGTGGCATTCAACTAAATCGCTGTGGTAACGGAAGCTGGCACAGTGATTCCCGCTAGTGTAGTGGGACCTCCCCCCACAATAAGCCTCCCACCCTACCCAAATTTGCTCTGGAAGGTCAGGAGAACCCCCTTGAACAATGCATGGGGGAAGAAGAAGGAAGATGGTTCCAATGGGCAAGCTTAAATGTTTGAATGCAACCTCTTGAGTCTGGCCCACCCCAGACAGCCAGTTTTCTATCATTTGGTCATCTGAGGGAGCCTCTTGTCCCAAAATAGCCAAACAATAAACAGTAAAAAAAAACAAAAGAGAACACCCTGATGTAAAAAGCCTTCCTGGGGACAAAGCCAAGCATTTAAGCTTTCATCAGTTCCTGCACCAGGGCAACAGTATGCAGATTCACCTGGAAATAATATTGATTCACTGAGGCTTGTTCCCAGGTAAGTTTGCATAGTATTTCAGCCTTAATAATTAGTAACTGGGTGGGGGAAGGGGGAAGACAGAAAGAGATGGGTAAGAGGCAGGGCAGAAGCAATATGCAATTTGGGAGGGGACAGGGACTTTCAAGTATCTTCCATGTTCATTATATCATAGGTCATCTGAGCTTAGGATCAGTCATCAGGTCATTTGAGCTTAGGATCAGTATCTGATGCCTTGCTCTCAGACCTCCTGGGAATAACTTTAAGATTAGTGTCTACCGGGGATAGGGACTTTTGAGTGGTGGCCCCATATCTTTGGAATACCCTCCCTAGGTATGTACGTACAATCTCATCATTGCCAGATTTTAAGAGAGCATTGAAGAAGTTTTTATTTCAGTGATGATTTCAAGCTGTGCTTGAAAGTTTATCAGCTGCTGGTTTTAATTAAATGATTATGAACGGTAGGTTGTTGTATTTATCATGCTTCCCAAGTTTTATTTATTCATTTCAAATTTATTTTTGTGAACCACCCCATAAGGGGCGATGTGCCTTGAAAGGTGGGTTAGAAATTCATTAGAGAAATGCAGTTTGACAGCTAAATGAAATCTAAATTGATGGTAGGAAATTTTAGAATTGGTTTCAATCAAGCAAAAAAAAGGGGGGGAGAACTGCAGGTACTTTTGGGGAGGGAAGGGGGGCACTTCCAGAACTTTAGTATCTTTAGAAGATGCTGAAATGATGCCACATATGAATGTACATCTTCTACCTGGGAAGAAAATACAAAGCCTTTTGTAATGCTTATTTGGGTATTGATCATATCTGGGGTGCATTGCTAGAGAACGATTCCATAGGGGGTGCTGCTGCTTCATTAATCAATATAGCTAGTCTATATCTAAAAGAGCAGAAAGAAAAGGAAAATAAAGCACACAACCGTCTTTGAAGCAAACATTGTCTGTTTGCCTAGTCATGTCTTTATGTTAGGATTAATACTCTCAAACAATTGAATGGCAACTGACTTCAACACAAATGCATTTTTTTCAGTTTCCTGCATTATGTAAAAAAAAAAAAAAATACAGGACAACCCATGCAAAATGGGATCTTTGATGACAATGATAAGTTATTGTTACTCCTAAATATTAATCATGTGCATATTTGCCTAGATGAACGAAACCCAAGCAGACAGATGTATCCAAGCAGCATTGCTTTAATTGCATACAACATGTGCCGCTGTTTCACTCATATATTTCAGGCAGCTTTCAAACAATTATGTAATTAGAAGTATGAAATTAAGGACAGAAAAGGAAAGCCTCTAATCCAGCCATTTCGGAAAGTGGATAAGCTTGTCTTGGAAGGAATCGCTAAACAAGTTATGTTTGAAATGTCATTGAATTATTCAGGTGGTTCAGTATGAACATCAAAGCTTTTGATCTGATGTTAAACGGTTCCAGACAGGGCTTGTATAACAGCCCTGCAAGTCTCCTGCTCCAACAAAACTTACTAGTGTCTTCTCCCCCTCTCCCATTAACAGCTTTACACTGTGCTAATATTTGTCTGACAAGGGTTTCCTTCACAGAGGGCCTCTTCATTCATATAAAGGTTCCAAGAGAAGAGTTGCAAAAGTTACAGAGGTGACAAGCCAGTTGACCAAACAGACATAGGATGTAGAGTCGGAACATTGCTTCAACCAGCTCTGTATTGTCTGCAGACTGACTGGCAGTCGTTCTCCAGGATTTTAGACAACAGTCTCTCCCATCTCTATATGGAGATGCCTGAGATTAATCCTGGAACCTTCTGCCTGGAGAACAGATGCTCTACTCACTGAGTTAGGGCTCAGCGTTGTTGCCAATTGACCAGGAAAATAAATAGTCTTTAATAGTGGCTTGATCACCAGAAATCAGCTAGTAAAGCTTTTCACAGTATGAAGACTAAGCAGGTCCAGCTGGCACAGACCTTCTCTTTCCGCCCTCCAAGCACACACAATTATTAACCCTATGAGGTTGAATGCCTAAAGGGATCTCTGCTGAAGCAAATCTGGGGTTAATTCCTTTGTTATGGTGAGGGAAAAAAATCACTCCTCTCGCTCCAAATACAAAGAAAATGCCCATATACAGCCTGAAGCTTTAAGCCGCACCATCATTTTTTAATTCCTGGAATCTCTTATCTTAAAGCTGAGTGAAATGAGTGATAAGCACTGTAAAATCCATCACTGAACTTTGAAACTTCCCAGAAATTCATTAAAATCTTATAATAATTATCAACAATAGTATAATGTGCCTTAAAATTATGGGAGGCACAGAATGGGCAGTGATTATGTCCTCTTTTTAAAGTTGTAAACCTTCAAACTAATAGGACAAAACAATGCTCTCATTATAAAACAGTGTTTACTAATGAAGATTTTGTAGATTCTCTGAATATATGGGCAAATATTGCAGATTATATTCATGAATTAATTCATTATTAAAATGGGTTGGGTGCATTTAGATAAGAATCTTCCCGCAGCAAAGCACAGTTAGCTCAGTTGGTTAGAGTGTGGTGCTGATAATACCAAGATCATGGGTTTGATTCCTGTACAGGCCGCCAGCATATTCCTGCATTGCAGGAGGTTGGACTAGATGACCATTGGGATCCCTGTTTTTGGAAGCTGAACATCCGATGGAAGCCAAACATCCGATGAGGCTTCTGCTTTTGTTTCCAGTGCGCCTGCGCAATCAGAAGCCATGCCTTGATTTCTGAACATTTCAGAAGTCGTACAGACTTCCAGAACACATTATGTTTGAAAACCAAGGTACGACTGTATGTCTCAAAGGCAACCCACCCATTTACCTTCATCTGGAAGGAAAACAGTGCTCAAAATATTTCTTTTTATGTATTTATATTTAAACACACACACAATTCTACTGAACCAACCACTTCAGCAATAACCTTCATGGACAGGAGATAAGAACTATGTATCTTGCTCACCAAATTCCTGTAAAGAAAGGATTGGCCATAAACCACTCAATGAGCAGAAGAATCTGTGCTGGACAGAAAGTCAGTGAAATATTTTGCTATGAAGGCAGGTGGATCATGATATGATAGCCGTGGGGAATGGTGTAAGCTCATGGAGGCTCATACACAGCCTTCTTCCTGCAGGAAAAGGACATAATTAAGGGCCTGAGAGAAAGCCTTTGAAGAGTTTCATTGCCTTCAGTGGATTTTAAAGCAAACCCTAGGAGAGCAGCCACACATTCTCTACGTAGCTAGAGCATCTGAAAGAAAGGAAAAAGAAGAACAAAGCACAAAGTACAAGAATTTTGAAAGAATGCATTCAAAGGATATTAGGGAAAAAATACAGAGGCGGAGGGCGAATCAAGCAATGAAAAGCATTACGGATCAAGTAGAACATTATCTTCAAGAAAGCCAGAGATGAAAGAAGGGATCTGTCAACAGGAGATTGCAACACAAGCTAGCTAAAATTTCCTGTTTAAAATGATAAAGTAGTAGGTGTTGTTGTTATTAACCACATGCAATATATAATGGTACCTTTCACCAGAGGTGTATGTAAATGTCTGTGGTTTTTCCTTCTTCATTGTGGACATAGAAACACAGTGCTTTTTTTCTGAGGGGACACATACCTCTAAACATTTTGTGAATCTTTGTACTTCTGTCCATTTACTGTATTTGTTTTTCCCAATCTGAACTATAAAATGGTGATTTTCCTGAGTCAAAATGTGAATACCCCTAAACATTTTTTTTAAAGAAAAAAAAAATCACTGTAGAAACATCCAGTTTCAGTTGAAAACATTTGATTTCTCCATGTAGGGGATGAGGGAGGTAAAAGTCCTCCAGTAACAGACTGGTTGAGTAGTAGGGAGGGGTGTCCAGGTTTTCAGATGAAAGCATCCTGGGATACTCAGTTGCAGGGTTGTATAATCCTGCATTTATGCAGTTTCCAGTAAACGTACCTATGGCTGGGTCCATAACCACATGCAAATATCAGAAGATAACATTTGGCTTTCTGGATCAGACCACAACTTCTTCTTCACTATTGTATTTCTAGCAGTGCTGTGCCAGATGTAAACAGAATATGAAGGTGATGCCCTTTCCTCATCCTTCATCCCCAGAGTCTGAAGTGTTCAGAAGTATATTGTCTCTGGGCACAACTAGGCACAAGGTTTATCTCATAGTTCAGCCTTGCACACCTGATTTTTGTTTAGCGGAGAGCTTGTGTGGGACCACAAACTGAATTGGTCTGTGGCATGGGTGTCCCTTTTACGTCCATTGCTGACCCAGTTGGAGTGATCACCATGTTCACAGTGAGAGAAAAGCTCCCATGAATGGCATTGGGTGGGTGGAGAGAATTCTGGTCAAAGGGTTAAAGCAGTGCTTTTTTTCTGCGGGAACACAGGAGTATGCTTACCCCTTAACATTTCGGGAATCTAATGAGAGAAGAAACTATTTTTTTAAAAAAAAAATAGTTTCTTCTCTAGCACGGTGAATCGACAGTTCCACTGGTATGCCCAATGGCGGCCACATTTCCTGTCACAGTGTTTCCTGAATCTCAGATGGAATGAGAGTACCCTTAAACTTTTTTTTAACTTTTTTTTAAGCACTGGGTTAAAGTATCCCCACTCCACAGTTCTGGCCTAGCACTGGTAATTTTTTTAAACAAAAAGCAGCTATGCAAGGCCAAACCATCTGACAAAAATCATGTTTAACTTTGCCATCTGTATGTACCGCCGCTAGGCCAGACTTCCATGACTTTATCAAATCCTTTCTTAAAGTAATCTAAACTAGTGGCTATAATTACTTAGATTGTTATGTAATCATACCTGGGTGTAATTTTTTTACACGAGCAAGCTGCAAGAAATTTAGGAACAAAGGGAAGAGCATAAACCCCCTCCAAAATGGTTGGCAATTACATTAGCAAATATTCGCACAGTAGAAGAGAATTGCCAGTAATCTCAGGATGCTGTGAATGCATTAATATGATTGATGAATTCATTTGTACAGGAAGCAAGTCAAGAGCAAATTAGCTTTAATTTGACTAAATCAGGTTAATGGTTATGGCTAGATCCCTCATGCTTTTGTAAAGTTGATAATAGGAAAAATGTATTATAAAGATCTGGCTGTTCCCTGAAAATGTTTTCTAGTGCTTAGTAATGGGTACTGGGTTGGGGGATGGGGAGAAACCAGGCAAAACCGAATATAGCATAAAAGGCTAAATTAAAAATAAAAATAATTTTAAATCTTCAATATAATTCTCATTTATTATAACTATGTCAAATTTCTGTTTCTTTACTTGCTCATCTTCGGATAAAAGTGAGACCTTTTTTTACTATTTTATTATTACTATTTTTGTATAATAGTTCATCCAATACATAACACAGTGCACTTAGTAGATTCATATTACATTTCGGTATAATGTGCTCTATATAACATTGCTGCCCTTTATGCAAAAGGTTTTCTTCTGTTTTGCCTTCCTGGTCATATATAGATAGCCATGTTTGCTGGCAGAAATGTGAGGCGTTTTAAGCTCCATTCATATAGAGCGTTTATATGTTTGCTATGGTGTGGCTTTGGGGCTAATTCCGCAATCCTGGGAAGTTTCTTGCCCTCAAAGAGGCAAAGTGAACCACATTCAGCCTTGATGAGGAAAGTAAGGGTAAACAAGAACCCCTGTTTGCTGTGTCCGTTTCAGAGAACAATGGCTCATATCAGCATGCAAACTTGTATAAGAAAAAGATGATAAGAATAAGAATAAGAATAAGAATATTTATACCCCACCCATCTGACTGGGTTTCTCCAGCCACTCTGGGCAGCTCCCAACAGAATATTAAAATCACAGTAAAACATCAAACATTAAAAACCTCCCTAAACATTAACATGACTCTTCGGGGCTCTTCATATAGGGGATGGGTTATTTTCCAAAAGAGAAAACAGAAGCTACCATAGGACCAGTGTGCTAAGGGGGAATATTATTATACCCCATAAGCTGCTTATGAGCTCACCGTTCTGTTGTCTCCAGGGCTCTGCTGGGGCCCCTGCAGCTCCACACACAGTGAGACTGAACCGGTCGCACACCCCTAAATCTGCCTCTGCTGCAAGTGTTCGCTGAGTATACAGTCCATTTATTTCACGGACGCTTTTGATGGTAGAGTGTGGCCAAGTTGTAAAGTAAGAACCTAAAGCTGGGCCAGGCCAGGACATTTTGCTGCTTTAGGCAAAACAGAACATGCCCCCACCCTCAGAGCAGTGTTGGGAGATTCCATTCCACCTTTTGTTGCAGACATGGGATTGTTGCGTGTCACAAGTCTGTTTACATTCCAGCACAGACTGCTGGGTCCTGTGAGCGGAACTTCTGCTCTGTGTATAGCTTTTGTTTTGAGTCTCTCTCTGAGAAGACGGCAAGGAGAGACGACATGTTTCTTTGTTCTGATTTATGTAAAATAAATCCATAGTTTTAGTATGTATCCACAGCCTCAACCTCTTCTGTTGTGGAGTTTACTCTGCTACGTACAGTGTGCTCAAGCCAGCAAGCCTGAGTCGCTGATTTACGTCAGAGCCAGAGGTTGATGAATCTCTGCAGCGTGAAGGCTGAGAGGGAGATGATCCGGCTGGGGCCGAGCCAGCTGGCCTTTCAACCCCTGGATGCTGACAAGCAGGTGGTGGGTGGGTAGGCATGGAGGAGGAGGATGGGCATGGAGGTGGGCAAGGAGGAGTACTAGCTCACTCCTCAGAGGCTGGATCTGCCTCCTGGCATGACTGCCTCACATCACCTCATGGGCAAGCAGGCCCTGATCTAGAGTTTTAACTTTGGAAATAAATTATTGATCAGTGAATTTCTGTCAGTTTTCATTCCTAAATCTGACTGATGCTTCTTCCCCAGGTTCAAAATACATAATTTTCTGGTGCCTTTTAAGATTATTCTACGGCTCAGAGTATCGTCTCAAGGAACATGATTTAAGGAAAAGGATCTGGCTGTGAGTAGTTCTGGATGGGTAATTATACAGGAACTATTTTTAAGCCCATCTAAATTACCTGGAAGAGGGAATCAACTCGAACAATGCTGCCCACAATGCTCATGTTTAATGCTAAATCATTTAATGTTGAACAAGTGTGACATGAATGACTCTAGCGTCTTCCTAGGTCCATACTTCCTCCTCCTCTGTTTTTGTGCTATGTAGCCAAGAGGAGAAGCTATTACAATGTCTCCCTTGAAGACAGTTATTAAAATGAAAGTGGGTGGGCACAGTTTCATGGTCAAACTGAAGGTCCACCCTCTGCCCATTTTAAGAAGAGGCTCACTCTATCTAATGGTGTGGCTGCCCCTGCCTAGACAGCTAGGGGTTCGGGAATGGGAATCTGTATCTCACAGAAAGCAAATGGCAACATCCGAATTATACTTGCAGTTCCAAAAAACTTTGGCTATCTAAGGGCACCTGATGGCAATTACATGAATATCTATGGGGCAGCAAAGCAGAAAAATCCATGGAAAATAAAGTGACATTTTTCACATATCTTTAGATGGGGGTGGGGATTGAACTTTAGTGCTGTCAGAGCTGGTCAAGTTGTTTCCATTTAGAAGGCCCTGGTAATAATGCCAGGTGCCAGTTTGCCATGGAGACTGGTTCTCCATAGAGGCACTTAGTGGCTTTTATTCTAAAAAGCACAAAACCAAATAATAAAAGCATCTAATTATAGAGTTGCAGGAGACATGAAGTTCTTACAGCACTGCCTCCTGCTGTAAAACAGGATCATTCTCATGTCAACCCTACCCCCACTGTACTTCATAAATAAAAAACGCTTCCCCTGGAATTGCCATGCAAAAAGCAGAAGGTTCACAAGGTGAGTAGGCAAAGAATCGTTTTGTGAAGCAGTACTTAAGAGCCACTTTGTATGGTGTTTCCCCCCGTAAAGCAATAATTCTTGGATAGAAAAAGGACAGCAATGATGGGCTCCCCTCAACTTACCACCCACCTGGTCTTATCCACAGTTCCTCTTGTTCCACTGCTTTTCCACGGGGGAAACAACTCTTCGGGTTTCCCCCAGATTGCCATTTGTTCTGATTAATCACTAAAGAAGGGGCTTTCCCTTGGAAAGGAGTGAGGCAAGGGGAAAACCACTAAGCCCCATGCTTTCTAGGTACAGCACAGCGGAAGTGTGGACGAGCCCTTTTACACACATACTGAACAGCTACAATAGCCACATTGTCTGGAAATGAAATCCACGAAGCAGCCCAGAGTTAAATCAAATGCTGCAATTGTCAATTTTATGCAAGCACAGGCGCACCTAGGCTCCCTTGCACCATTGGCAAGCAGATGTATCGGTGCTCCTGTCCCTTGCGCTCTTGCCAGAACAGCACAGGAGCAACCTGGGTAGCGTGCAGACGGGCTGCTGGCCACTCCAAGCCACAGTGGAGAGGTGTAATTTTGTGCCCCCTGGGGCTGTGCACAAGGCAGGGGCCACCCTGACCAGGTACACCCCTGAGTGCAAGCTCTGCAGAGTGATTCTATGGTTAGAGAGAGGAGTGTGGCCAGAGGTGGTTCTGCAACCATGCAGTGTCATTGATCATGGCACCACAGCAACTTAATGCCAAAGAAGACCAGAATCAATACGCTTTCACCACCACCCATGCCATCTTCCCAGTCCTTCTTCCCTTTGTCCACATGCACAGTTGTAGCATCAGGAATCCAGCTGAGGCTGCCTGTGGTGGTGGCAGGTGGTGGTCTACCCCAGCCTACCATTCAGGTGCCACTTTAGAGCTCCTACACCACTAGACCTTTCTGCTGTTAGCACCACTTTTGTCTAGGTGAAAATGTTCCTTTCAGCTATTCTGTAACTATAAACAGATTTTGTAGTCTATCTATTGAGTGCTTTATCAATGCTTTACCTTGAATGGAGAGTTTCATGTCAATGTGTGGCTTTAGCACTGGGATCCTACCATTGTGTGTTGATTTAAAGCAGAGTCTGTCGTGGCCAGCGGAAGGATGAAGAATACGTGCTCCATACTCCATATAGCTTTATTTACAGTTCAAAGCTGGTATATTACAGAAAGACATCTTGCGTCTGCAGGAGCAGAAAAATGCATCCTCTCTCCTCTACAGCTTGGAGAGAATCACACAGTGAAAAAACAGGAAACCAGTGTACGTCACATCCAGTCTCCCTTTCCCGTGAGAAACTCCAACAGTACAGACTGTGGAATGTAAACACCTGTCTCATGACATGCAAAGCTGCACAGTGAAGGAAAGCAGAAACCAACATCCTCCCCCTTTCTGTGAACATCACTGGGCAGCGTGTTCGTACAATATCAGTACAAACCCAACTTCTGCACATAGGTACAGTGTTGATCCCTTGATACAATCTTGGACAATACATCAGCAGGAATTTCATTACCTGGCATATAGGACACCGTTACGAGTCCCTTCTGAATACATTCCCTAGCATGCTGCAACTTTAATTGCAAGTGCTTTGTGCTTTGCTTACAACCTTCAGACGTGAGCAAAGCCAAACATGCTTTGTTGTCCTGGTAAACCTGGATTGGACATTTGACAGGAATTTTCATATCTTTGCACAATTGTACTAACCATTCACAATCCTTAAGTGAATAAGACAGTGCATTCAGTTCGGCTTCACAAGTATTTAAGCTAACTGTTGTTTGCTTCTTGCATGACCAATCAAACAGACCCTGATTGTACATGTAGCAAACTCCAGACGTACTTTTCCTGTCTGTAGCGTCACTTCCAAAACTTGCATCTGCAAATATCTCAAGACCACCAGACTTCTGATTGTTAAATCTCAGTCTGTAATGCATAGTGCCTTTCAAATACCGCGCTATGCGTTTCAGAGCTTTCCAATCCTTGACACTAGGATTGTTGACTTGTCTGCTTAGCAAATTACAGCTAACAGCAATGTCTGGTCTTGAACATCTGGCAATGAAGTTTAGCTTGCCTAGCACACTCCTGTACAGTGTAGTGTCAGAAAATGCTTCTTCAGTGTCATCTACCTGATAACCTGTTGTCATCGGTGTGTCTACAGGGTTAGCATCCATCAGATTTAGTTTGCTTAACACATCAGCAATTTTCCGTGACTGGTGTACTAGAATGTTACCATCTTGATCTCTCTCTATTTCCAGAGATAGGTAGTTGTTTACCTCACCAAGATCTTTCATGTCAAAGTGCTCTTTCAGTTGAGCTAGGGCGCTATTGTACACTGCAACATCTTTCCAAAAGAATAATAAATCATCAACATAAAACAAACAGTACAGTTTCTTTTGCCCCTCCTCTTTGACAAATACACATGGATCAGCTTTCCCTTGCTGAAAACCTAGAGAAAACAATACTTCAGTGAGTTTGTGTGCCAACACCGTGCACTTTGTTTGAGACCATAAAGGGATTTCTTCAGAGCACAAACAAATCCCTGTTTTACCTGTACGCCATCAGGTGGAAGCATATAAAGTGATTCATCTAGAGATCCGTACAGAAAAGCTGTATTAATATCATGGTGACTAATGTGTAGATTTTCCTCTGCAGCTAGCTTGAGCATAAGCCTAATGCTTTCATATCTCACTGTGGGTGAATAGGTCTCGTGATAGTCTTCACCTGGTACCTGTGCAAAACCTCTGGCTACCAATCTGGCTTTGTGTCTGACTATCTTGCCATTTTGATCTGTCTTCGCTTTGAAGACCCATTTGCTTCCAAGCAGTTTCATTCCTGGAACTACTGGAACTAGCTCCCATGTTTTGTTCCTTTCTAAGGAATCAAGCTCAGCCTTCATGGCATTTAACCATGGCTCAGCTTCCTTCGAATCCAAACCCTGGATTTCTTGGAAACTTGAAGGTTCAAATACCTTCTTGGAGCTTTTAACAGCTGTTACTGCTATCTTAGCAAACTCATCAGCAAATCTCTTTGGAGGTTTGCCTTTTGTGGCTCTCTGTGACCTACGAATTAGCCTTAAGTCTTCAACACTCTCCTCTTCCTTCTTGGGAGAAAAACGACCTATTGTGAACAATGGTTCCTCCAATCCTTGATCAGAGCTTTCAGAGGGTCGCATAGAGGCTTTCGCACTCTTGAAATCCTCTGAATCACCCGATTCAGTTTCAGATTCAGACTCAGAACCTTCATCAGTGGGTGTGGGCTGTTGTGGTGGCTGTTGACTATCCTCAGTCTCATCACCGTCATCAGGATAACATTGGACAATTCCCCCATTCTCCCCCACTTTGCATTGTACTCAACACTTCTCGTGAGCTTAATTGTCTTAGAGTCAGTCATCATTATTCTGTAAGACCCTTTCTGATAACCT